AAAAAAAAAAAACATTTCTAAGTAAATGAGTAAATTTGAGTCCATGCTCTTAATTGACACAGATCAGACACACTTGTATCAATATTGACTTTCTTCTGTCCTGTGAGAAATTCAAAGTGTAAATGAAGCCCGCCCTATGTCATAGACACCATGAAGTGTTAAGAAAATGTTCCAATTGGAAGGGGAATGAGGGTGGGCAGAGAGGGAAAGGAAGAAAGGAAAAAAACCAGAAAAGACAGAGCAAATGAACACAAAGCTTTTGTAAACAAAGAAGGCAGATTGAAGGTAGGGCAGGGAAATGAGAAAAAGATGAATCAGTGTTCATCATGTACAGTTATAAACTTCTATGATGAGTGTGATCATTATGTATACCTAAATTGTATCAATACTGTTAATTAATTAAAGAAAGCCAAACTTTTCACATGAATAAAAGGTTAAACTGTTTGCTCATCAGTGCACAGCATAAAGAATGTGCAAAGAGAAATCTAAGCAACTGGAGAGAACATTTACATATTCTAGACACGATAAGGCTCTACTCTTCCACTTAAGAATCACCTCTTAAATTGGTGTAATCAAAAGATTATGAATTCACTTCATTAATACATTGTGATAAGATCTGAAAAAAATGTATAGAGGACATGAAATGTCCATGAACTATGTGAAAATGTTTTCATCATCGTTAATGGTTGAATTAGTGCAAAAGAAAAGCTCAATGACATAGTCCTTTCAGCCTCCTAACATGGACCAGCAAGACAGCTCAGCAGACCAAACACCTGTGTAGGCAAGAGAAAGGGCTGGGTTTGATGTCCTCCAGCACCACATGCCGCCATGGTCACACCCCTGGGTGCGCTGAGCCAGCCACTGAGACCCGGCATTGTGGTGCTCCCCTGTAATCCCTAGTGTTGAGGGGGCTGAAAACAGAAGGATCACTGTTATGGTTTGTGTCTAGTTGTCCCCCCAAAGCCTCATGCAGTCATGGGGTGAGAGCTTCTAGAGTTTGTGTTAACTCATGATCCACTGGGATTATGTGTGATCCAAGGCTGGGATTATGGCTCTTAACACATTTTCTTAACACTTCACAGTGTCTATGACATAGGGCGGGTTTCATTTACACTTTGAATTTCTCACAGGACAGAAGCAAGTCAATATTGATACAAGTGTGTCTGATCTGTGTCAATTAAGAGCATGGACTCAAATTTACTCATTTACTTAAATATGTTTTAAATTTATCTTTTATGACTTAGCAGTACTCCATTGTATAAAATCATCATAGCCTCGGTATATGTTTGTCAGTTCACAGACCCATAATCCCAGCCTTGGATCCAAGGCTGAGATTACCCATAGGTGGGTAAATACTGGGAAGTACCCATAGGTGTGAATACTTCCCCTGCCCTGGGGCAGGTAATTTGCATTACGATGTAAGGTGGCAAGAGAAGCTAGCTGCTTGAGCTGCTGCTACCCCTCCCTTGCACTCTTGCTCTTTGCCACCACTATGAAAGGTTGCTTTCTGCTCTGTGCTGTTCTGTGCTGGACCCAGCTGAGTATGAACTGAAGCCTCCAGTGACTGTGAGCTAAAGAAACCTTTCCTTCCTTCATTTTGAGTGTCGAGTATTAGTCCCAGCAACGAGAGAAGAGTAACTAAGACAATCACTATGAGTCCGAGCTGTAGAGTGAGACCCTGTAGCAAATACATAAAACAACAACAACAATAATAACTCCAACACGCTGTAAGTTTTTTTTTTTGTTGTTGTTGTTATCAGGGATCAAACTCCAGAACTTATGCTTGCGAGGCAGGCACTTAAGCCGCTGAGCTAGCTCGCCAGGCCCAGCCTGTAGTTTCTCTAAAAATCAAATCATTAATGATGAGAGAAATGTGTAGAGTTGCAGATTTTGAACTTGGCTCATGGAAACATAACGTTATGCTGACCCTGGGGAAGGCGTTCTACATTTCCGCAAAAATTAATCTCTGAATTACTGTATTCAAAAATTATTCTCTTAAATAGAATACAGATGGATTCATCTCTGAATTCCAGTATCTTAGCAGATGTACTCCTTGAGATGGGCCCAATGAAAATGAACACACATGCACTGATGAAGCTTATTCCTTGCAGCATGACCTATAGCAGCTAAAAGTGAAAGCCTCCCTAGAGGCTACCACACGATGACCAGGTGAGCACAGTGTGGTCTGGCCGTGTCCTGGTGGGCTATTTAAACTGGAAATGAGGTGAAGTACTCATGTAGACTTCGTGGACGAATCTGAAGAATGCTATGGCAGATGAGGGGCCACACAGAAAAGGCACCATGTATGTGACTCTTCGTGCGCTGTGCAGAGCAGGCAAAGGCTGAGAGAAGGGGCCCAGGGATCATCAGGAGAGAGGCATAGATTTGGGTGCAGGGTTTCTTTCTGGTCTGATGAATGTTCTGGAATGACAGAGTGGTGAGGTTTGTGGTTCACTATTGATGCATAAAATGCAGGTTGTTGTGTGTTTTACGTTGGAAGTGTTGAATTTAACATTATGGAAGTTTATCTCAATAAACCATACAGAGGTAAATCTGAAAGGTGTACAGAGACACCGAATTTCACCCACTGGTGAGAAACACTAAAAATTCTACCATGGGACTGGGGAGAGAGCTTGGCAGTCCAAGCACCTGCTTCCAATTGCACAGACCCAGGTTCAGTCCCTGGTACCACAGTCTGAGCTGGCCCTGGTCCCTGGGCACTCGAGTTGTCCACAGAAGCGGGCATGGGGGCGCATGCCTGTAATTCTAATACTGGGGAGGCTGAGACAGGAGGATCACTATGAGTCTAAGGTGCGAAGTGAGACCCTATGCCAAATAAATAAACAAATAAAAGATTGAAAAATAAATTCTGCCGTGGAGTTTAGAGCAACTCCGTGGTAGCCCTCCATGATTGCCGTAGGTGACATCACAGAATCTCCTAAACAAAAACCACAGCAAACAATAAGACTCTTTGGTTGGTCAACACTCTCCTTGGGCTCTCAGTGTTGACTGTAACTGTGCCCGAGCTTCTTAGGAAAGCCCTTGGCTGCAGGTATCAGAGCAAGAGAAACCATGTGACCAGGCTTCATTGGCGTTTAGGACCTCAACCCCTTGGCACACCCTGGTGGACGATGCCCACGAGGTTGGCATGCAGTGAGGGCCACCATGAGGGCACACCAGGACCACCTGTGCTCCTGATACCCTATGACCTCTCTGACCTTGGGAGCACAGACCGAGCTCAGTGCAGCTCTTGGTCAGGGTCCCTCCTGGTGGGGGGATTAAACGTCTGAGGACAGTGTGTTACTGTTTGCCTGTGTGTCTGCTTCATTCCACAGTGCTGAGATTGATGCCACAGGTGCATGCAGTGCTGTACCCCAAGGACATGGGCCCTCTAATTCTGCTGTGTGAAGGTTTCCCTCTCTGTGGTATCCGCTGGAATGAGGGGCCAAGGAGCAGAGTTCAATGTGGCCATGGTTCCTTGTATGGGAGGAATCCCTGGGTTTACACAGGCAGTTCTGTCACTGGGTGAGTCAGGATGGGAGGGACCCAGCCCTGCCCAAGCTGAAGAGGCCCTGCCCCAGCCCTAGGAAGGCTCCTCTTTTTTTTTTCTGTGTTTTGGGTAGGGTCTACAGGGTCTATATAGTCTCACTATGTAGATCAGACTCATGGTGATTGTCGTTTTCAGCCCCCCAAGCGCTGGGATTACAGGTGTGCACCACCATGCCCAGTCTGCTTTGCTGTCTCAGCATGTCCTGTGGATGGGCCGGCCAGGCAAGCTGTGCATCGAGCCCTGGCCATGGCACTCTGCCTGAGTAGGTGTTTTAGTCTGCTGAGCTATCACGCGGGGCCGGCTTTTCTCTACCTGTGCCAGTTTCTGGGGAGACACAGCAGAAAGTTCCTTCCAGTCTCTGGAGAGGAAGAGTTTGTTTTCCTCTTGTGTGGTGCTGAGGGATGAGACCGAGCAGCACACCTCACTCCCATCCTGGACATCCCACAGAGGGACAAACATGCGTTGCTGTATGTCCCGGCTCCTACAGGACATAGAACAAAGCTGCACGTGTCCCATGACCCTCTCTTCCTGGCCTCCACAGGCCCAGCAACCCCTGCATCTGGCACAGCACTCACCAGTGAGGTTGAGCTGCACAGTCCACTCCACGGTCACCCCAGCTCCAGGGAACATCACCTGACAGGTGAGGTAGGTGCCATGGTCCTGGGGCTGGGGGCTCAGGGTGAGCACAGAAGAGTGGGTGGTCCTGGGGACCAGCGAGGTGAGGGCAGCTGATGTCCAGGAGAAGATGGGGGGTGTCCCCTGCTCACAGGCCCAGGGTACAGAGCAAGTCAGGATGCTGGGGTGGCTGGGCATGAGGGTCCCAGGGATGAGGATGTTGGGGGTATGGGTCAGGGCTGGGAGGAGAGGGAACAGCAGAATCAAGAGGGTGGGATCAAGAAGCCCAGGCCCCAGCACAAGTCCTCCTGAAGTCCCAAAACTTGAACCCCAACCCTGCCGCAGACAGCATCCATCCCAGCCACCTCCAGAGGCCTCCACCGCTTGTGCCTGGTGCCCAAGCCTTACCTGTCACTTCCACAGAGACCGGGTCTGCACAGTAACTCCATTGTACACTTACTGAGACCACCCGAAAGAAATATGAGCCACTGTCACCCTTCTGTGCATCTGTGATGTGCAGGGAGCAGTTCTTGGTCTGTGCGTCCAGGAGCAGGTGGAACCGGCCCCGAGTTCTCTCCTGCACTGGGCGTTGAGGATCATTTGTAGCCACAGGGGAGTCGCGATTTATATTGGCCCCTTCCTGAAACCAGTAGCCAGAGACATCCTTGGAATTCACCGGAGAGTCGGAGTATTTGCAGGGCACGAGGAGACACTGGCCCTCCTGGACGCTCACTGACTCAGGCACCTCCAGCCTGTGTCTCAGGCTCTTCTATAAGCACCCTGGGGCTAAAGGAATCTCAGGTCTTCTCAGTGCATGCTGCCCTTCCCCCTGAACGCACAGTAGCAGCAGGGGCAGTAGCATCTCAGAGCTGGAGGTTCTGGCTTCTGTGTCAGCAGAGAAGGGAGCAGTGTGGAAGGGAAGTGTGGAATCCGGGGTGGAGCCCAAGAGGTGGGTGGATTACAGAAGAGGAACTCAGACCCACACCCAGTGGGAGCTGCCCCTCTGCACAGAGTGGACAGAAAGCTGGGAGACCCGCCCTGGGGGCCGACAGACTCAGAGCTTGTATCCTGGCTGCATTTGGAAGCTTGCTGGAGCACTGGGCTTGTGTCAGGGCACTGCAGACACCGGAGGCCGTGACATGAGTGAGCGTGACCCTGAGTAACTGCAGCCTCCCCACAGACTCCCACCCTTGCTGGTGTTCCTGGAGATGGATCTCGTGGAGTGAAGGCTTCTTGTACGGACTTCCTTAAATAAAATTACTATA